CAGTTTCTCCTATTTCAAATACATTCTGGCTATTGTTAAACATTGAGAAAACCTTCAAACTTTTAATTCTCATTAGATTATGAAGATGACATTATTAGTGTTATTCAATTTGAGTCTAGCACATTTGCCCAGTATATTAGTTCTGAGGATATAGTATTATGTCTCATAAAATGTTCATTTGGCCTTTTCTCATCCCATTTAAGAACATCTGTGAGAATAGCCTTTCTGGTTTTTACCTGTTAGTTATTTCACAGAAGATTCTATTAGGATACTCTGCTTAACTTACAAGGTGCTCTTTTTAAAAAACCACAACAGCCCCCAGTGGTAAACTCCAAATAGATATTGATCATTTTTTGAATTTTATGATTGGCCACAGTGGAATAACACTGATCCAGGTAACTCTAGTCATATTGAGAATTTGGAATTGAGATTKGGGGTCAAGAAAGTATCCTGATTTTATATATTTATATCTGTATCTATGTCACTCTTTATCATAAGGATATCTCTAAGAGTGACAGCAAATGATAAATCAGATAAGGAAAAGTTTTCTGAAAACATCTTTCTAAAATAAGAGAAAAATAAAGTACAATGGTGAATCTTGGTTGTCAACTTGACTGGATTGAGAGACACCTGTAAGATTGGTAAAGCACACTGCTGGGTGTGTCTGTGAGAGTGTCTCCAGAGATGATTGGCATATGGGTCAGCAGACTGAGTAGGAAAATGGCCCTGCAGGTGGACAGCACCATCCTATAGTGAGGGGGCCTGGATGGAACAATAAGGGGAAGAAGGGGACGCTGCATATGCACATATTATCGGCTTTTCGTGAGGGTGTGTGTTTCTGCTGCTGCCATCATCCATAAACATTGGACTCCATAATTCTCACCTTTGAATGTGGACTTGCACCTGCAACTCTCCAGATGGCCTCCAGGCCTTCAGCCTCGGACTGGGGTTGCGTCATTTGTTCTTCTTGATCTGAGGCTTCCAGCTTCTTGAACTGAGCTACTGGTTTCTCCAATTGTCAAGCCTGCAGATAGCCATTGTGGGGCCTGAGGGACCTGAAGGACTTTCTAAAACACAGATTGTTTGATTCCAAACCAGAGTTCCTCATCTAGCTGTTCATGACACAGAATGTTCATCTCTGACAAGTGCCTGGATGATGCTGATGCACTGGCCTTCAGAACACATTTTGAGAAGAATTTTGCTGAAGGAGCCTTTCCTCTACAGGAGGAAACTGGAAATCATCCTCCCAAAGTTTCCCTGAGAGGTATGTTATCWGCCTGAGACTAGGGCCAAAGACAGTGAGTGGCCTTATACAACACCAGGAAAATTCACTGGGTTCTATATCAGAGAAGACATTCGGCATTTGGTTTTTGGGGATTGGCTACCTTCACTTAGCATAATCTTCTCTAATGCCATCCATTTCCCTGCAAATGCCATGATCTTACTCTTTTTTATTGCTGAGTAATATTCCATTGTGTATAAATGCCACATTTTTTTAATCTATTCATCCACTGAAGGTCATCTAGTTTGGCTCCACAGTTTAGCTATTGTGAATTGTGCTGCTATAAACATTGATGTGGCTGTGTCCCTGTAATATGCTGTTTTTAGGTCCTTTGAGTAAGTCTGAGAAGAGGAATAGCTGGGTCAAATGGTGGTTCCATTCCCAGTTTTCCAAGGAATATCCATACTGCTTTCCAAATTGGCTGCACCAATTTGCAGTCCCACCAGCAGTGTATGAATGTACCTTTTCCCCCACATCCTCGCCAAAACTTGTTGTTGTTTGTCTTCATAATGGCTGCCACTCTTACTGGAGTGAGGTGGTWTCTTAGAGTAGTTATAATTTGCATTTATCTGATTGCTAGAGATGGGCTTGGGAGGGAGAGCAAGGGAGGAAGATTACCTCTAGATAGGGAATAGGGGTGGGAGGGAAAGGGAGGAAGAAGGGGATTAGCATGGATGGTGAAAGGAGACCCTCATCATTATACAACATACGTGTATGAAGATGTGAATTTGGTGTCAACATACCTTATATATAATCAGAGATATGATAAATATGGTATAATGGTGAAGTAAGAATTGTAATGCAACAACAAATAAATAAATAAATAAATTTTTAAAAAGAAAAGAAAATTCACTGAGTTCTAGATCAAGAGAACAGCTTTTACCAGGAAAGGATCTCCCGACACTCTTACAGAGACAGGGGCACAACCATGTTTCAGATCCATACACTCAAAAATAGTTAATGTTTCCATCAACTGACTCAGTTATCAGGAACTAGACTTACACATCCTGCCTAGAAGGACCCATGCTATTTTTATTTGAACTAACAGGCTTTAAAGTCAATATGTTTTTATCCCTTTACTTGTCAGAGATTCATTGATTTATATTTGGCATTGCGACTGACTTGAAGGATAGGATAAACATGGTTGTAGTAGGTGCTTTCTTGGTATAATTTACCAATTCACACTCTGCCAAAATCATCATGAAGCACCCCTATAATTCCTTACTAGGCTCCAAGAAATCCATTCCAGTCAGGAGCTCTGGGCCCTGAGCCCTTCCCTGATTGCCTTCACCTGGCCCAGTTAACTTCTCACTTTTTACATTAGCTCAGGAACCTCTTCTTTGCGAAACCTTTCCTGAACCACCTCCTTTGCCCTTGACCCCCATGCCCCATAAATACAATAAAGTCCCTCTTGTTAGAGGCACTCAGAATACCATGTTTCTATTCTTTTTGGCACCTACCACAGTTTAAACACATACTTATTTCATTAATATTTGTGCTTCCAACTAGACTGAGTTCCCAAAAAAGTAAGGAGGTTTTGTTCTTCATTATTTCCTCAACTTCTACTTAAATTCCTGACACAGGACAGGGGGACAGGCGCCCAGTTGATTTTGGGGGGGTGGGGGGAGGGGCAAGGCACTGCAGATTGAAAACAGGGGAGCTTTACCACTGAGCTACATCTCCAACCTTTTGCAACACTGCACCCAGCTTCCAAACTTTGTGGGGGTTTTTTTTGGTGCTACTCAGTATTGGATATAGGGCCTCGTGCATGCTAGGCAAGTATTCTGTCCCTGAGCTATATCCCTAGTCCTCCATTTGATTTTTGTTAGATGGACTGGTGGATGGATGGATGGATGGATGGATGGATGGATGGATGGATGCATGGATGGATAGACTATGTTATACCCTAACAGCAAAACTTAGAAATCAATAATTCTGTTACATTTTCAGGGAAAATGAAAAGTATGCAGATTATTTTTGAGGTACACCATAAAGAAGACATCAGCAATTCATTCTTCCCCCATAGTGAGTGCTCCCTGCTCCCCAACAGAGCACCTGACTTACTGAATTGGTCGTCTTGCAGTTTTGTCTTCACAGTGATGTAAAAGCTTTTCGGGGAGTACAAATCAAGGTTTTGTTTTGTTTTGTTTTGCTAGTGAATGACACTTAACAGAAATGTATTAAATGTTTGCAAATGGGAAAAACTTAGGAAAACAGAAGGGACTTGAATTTCCCAAGGGGGACCTGGGTTCTCTTGCCTGCCTCCAGAGTTTCCTGCCTCTCCATATTTCCCCAAATTCACCACAGCTTTCAATCCTCTCCTTTTACAGATAAGAAAGGTAAGGCCCATGGAGATGAAATAACCTGTATAAAGTCACAGGGCAGAATTCAAGGCAGAGCGAGAAGTAGAACTCAATCTTCCTAACTCCAGCTCTTTCTACTTAGTTGCCAAATACTGTCAGCAAGGAGGATACTGAGGAATTGTCTGCTTCATCAAGGGAGGATGGCCCAGAAGGAATGGTCTCATCAGCACCGTGCTGACCAAACTCAATCAGAACTTTGACATAGCCCAGTACAATTAATTTTAAATTTAAATTCTGAGAGGGTGGGGAGAGTAAACTGCATTCACCAAGAAATATTGATAATAAATTATTTTGTGAGGAAAGCTTAAAATTATACTTAAAAATAAAATATACCATATAAAAATGTCTGTTGAAAATATCTTTTTATTAGAAACAACATTAACACATTATAATACATTGTGCAAATATATATTTCATTTTTTTGCCTGAGTTTTTATGAACAAGATTTCTCAGCACAATAGTTCTTCCTCTGGGGGCCACTCATGTATTCAGCAAGTGCTCAGTGCCCTGCCAAGTGCTGAAGAATTGGGGAAAAAAAAAAAAGCAGAGAAAAACAACACAGTCCCATATCTCAAGAGGATCAGAGTCTAGTACACTATTTTCCTTATTTTGGATGTCTCTGTTTTAACATAAATACTTCCAATTTGTAAGATATATTTTATTCCTTGCTAGTTAAGTCTTTAGAAAATAGCCTATATGTCCAAGGTAAACTGGACAATTAAAATAATTAGTTAAAATATGATCGAAACATAAATTTGAGTCTTAAATAATCAAGTGATTTATGGAAACGTAATGCTATCACCTAAATTATTTTGATAACAGTTTTAATTTTTTACTTTGTGACTTTGCAAAGCCCCAAAATGTTTTAATAAAAAGAGAGACCTTCTTTCTTGATCTTCTATCAACACACAGAGGAATATTTGTCTTATCTGAAAGTAATCCATTGCCAAAAGSGAAAATTAAACAAAATCCAAAGCTGCATCTATGGTCCCCTTATTAGTCTTTGTCTCCTTTCTTTAGTAACTTTGATATTTTCTTAATGTTTGTATAAAGAGGGACATGTACATATGAATATTCTCAGTGTAAAACCCAAATTATCTCTTTGGAAAGTTGTCTACAAGTCTATTACTGGCATTCCCCTTTATTTCTATGATACACTTCTCAAAATGTTCATGTTTATACTATTTTGTACATTTTAATAAAGATGATTCATAATTATATGTGATTTACTTTATAATCTCAGTGACACACCCATTCCCACTTTTGGTGTGGGAAATACCATCAACTGTTGCTGCTATAGAGCCCACAGGAATCAGGTGATCCTTGGAGGTACTCGACTTCATTACTTCAAAATTCTTCAATGTGGTTCCAGCCACGCATAGTCATATAGATAATAAATGCTCAAAGATAACTTATGAAAGCTTGTTCTCAGAACAAAGCTGTCCTCCCTTGCCCCACATTTCTGGAAGTATTATCCCAAGTGATCTCCAGGATTTAAATAACAATGTTTAAAGACACTTAACACCACAGTAATGAATTTGCTGGCATGACACGAACAATACGGTTACTCCAGATGCTATATTCAAACTGTATGGGTCCATTGAAAAAATAAATATAACCTACAAGAAAAAGACCATAAGGAAAATTTCAAAGTTTGAAAATAAAAAGGTTTTACTACAGTTAATCWTAAATRTCCAATCTGTTAGAGTTGAATTATYTTTAACATTGCAATTTTTATCTTTTTAAATCCTACTAACATTTTAATGTCTTGCTTGTAAGTTTAAAAGGGATAAATGTTCTCAGGTCTTCTAAAATACCACCTAGAATTCATTGTCTTACCATGAATTCCAATTTCAATGCTAGAAATACTTATATTAGTTATTTGTTGTAAGTTAGGGACAATATTTCCTTTCATAATTAAARCAAAAAGTCATATAAATTATTGGTTGTTATGAGCTTTTATATATAAATTACCCCCACTCCATTCCTAGTTTAAATTCTGGCAACATCCTTTCCATCTTGGCATTTTTACATATAATTTAAGGTAATATATAGGGTTTGGCATGTCTTTTTTACAGAATTAGCAATAATTAAAATTTTCATTTTTTTCTAAGCAACTTATTTTTTTGTTTGTGCTCTGTGTAAATAGTCACTCAAGAATAATCAATGACTTAACTGCCATATATTTAATAGCACATCTAAGTCCTATATTAAAAGCCTTCGTAAAGAAAAGAGTTTTAAGGAGCTGTAGAAGCTCTTGTTGAAGTTTAATGCAATGTAATAATTACCATTTTTCTCATATACAGCATCCACTTTATCGCCAATTCCTGGGAATTCCTCCTCTATCAGTCTGGGATAGTCTTTGTCCATGATATGATTAGTATCATCATATCTATTTAATAAGAAAAAGAAATTCTTAAGTAAGTTCTAGTTCTTAAAAATGATTTAAGCCCATTGAAGGGGTGTAAACCTGCAATCCCAGCTACTTGGGAGACTGAAGCAGGAGGATCTCAAGTTCAAGGCCAGCCTGGGCAACAGAGGGAGAACCCACCTCAAAACAAAACAATTTTAGATATAATACAATGGATTCAATGGTACCTTTCAGAATGGACAAGTTTTAAAATATCTGATAGTTTCTTTTTAATTAGTAATGAATGCTTGATGAGTATTTGTTGACCTTTTAAAGGTCATCTTTGTAAGGACAATTACAAGCTTATTTCCACTTTACAAATTTTGTACCTGTTATAAAAGCATGTCATTAGGATGGCATTCTTAGAATGAAAAAATATATTTCACTGAATAAATATATGCATTGRATAATTGTCTATTGATCTTCTACTATGTGTAAAATAACTTGCTAAGTACAGTAATGGATATAAAAATATTTAAGGTTTAAATTCAGCACTAAAATGTTATAAGGGCTTATGGTAGTAAAGATTGAAAGGAGAGAATAGGTTTTCCCATGCATAACTGTATATTCTACATTTCTTCTTCCCTGTCACCACCACACCCTGGCCAACCGAATACATTCTGAAATTAACCTTAAAAAAAAGTATCCTTTAAGGTGCTATTGTTACTGATGGGAGCCTTTTATATCCTTGAAGTATATCCTAATAGGTAAATGGTAAGAATCCCTGACCCATCAAGAAAGCTTAGACATATGACATATACACACAATTACAGCATCAGGCTCGTGTGTGTGTGTGTGTGTGTGTGTGTGTGTGTGTGTGTGTGTTACTGGGGTTGGAACCCATGGCTTTGCTACATTAAGCAATGCTCTGCCTCTAAGCTGCATCCCCAGCTCAACACCAGGCATTATAAGGTAAGCATTATAAGGTAAGTAAGTTAAGCACCATAAGAGAGTAAACAGAAAATGTCATGACTGTACAGAAAAGGGGGAGATAACCTCTGAGTGGGGTGTTCAAAAATTCTGTAGACAAAATAATACTTCAAATATTTCWGATAGTTAGAGTTTTAAGAGGGAGAGATGAAAGGAAGAAAATTATGTAAGAGAAGTTGAGGGGGATATAAAAGCACAGTATGTTTGAGATCTGATAAGCAATTCATCCTGACTGAACCATAGAGTTCTTCCAGAGTGTAGGAAATGGAAAGTTGTGCCAGAGAGAAGCTGTCAGTAATTTTTAGAGAGGTACAAATTTAATTATCAGAAAAAAAATAATTCAAAAGACAAAGATGATACACACAGGAAGATGTATATAGCGTATAGTTGTGCATGTGTGTGTGTGTGCCTGTGWGTATGTAGAAATAGAATAAARCATCCATTCTAAACATTTTGAGTGTGGTGTTCCTTGATATATTGTCATTCCCCATTGTAGAAATGGATCTGGGCTCCTAAATGTTGCTCAGTGCTGCCTGAACCTTTAAATATGTTTTAAATATTCCAGTTCCATTTTCCCTTCAGAAATTTGACTGTACAAACTATGGGCCCATCAGCTTACTGGTCACCCTTTCTAGTGGATCAGCTGATTCTACAAACATGGAGCCTTTTCTCAACTAATCATTACCTGTACCCATTCTGGTGTCCTCTCTAACCCCTGAAAATAGAACCACTTATAAATTAGGAGGTGGTGACAAGAAAGAGAGTCCAGATAAAAGATTAAAAATAATAAAGGTACCAAAGTAAAAGTAGCAGTTTGCCATATTTGAGGCATAATAAATGGCTAAGAAAGAAAAGATCGGTTGGGATGTGGCTCAAGTGGTAGCGCGCTCGCCTGGCATGCGTGCGGCTTGGGTTCGATCCTCAGCACCACATACAAACAAAGATGTTGTGTCCACCGAGAACTAAAAAATAAATATTAAAAAAAAATTCTCTCTCTCTCTCTCTCTCTCTCTCTCTCTCTCTCTCTCTCTCTCTCTCTAAAAAAAAATAAGAAAAAGAAAAGAAAGAAAGAAAAGAGCGGTTGAGAAGAGGTGGGTAGAGTGTGTGTATTTAAGAGAGATTAAGATTTTAAACATGTCTGGAGCCCATGCAGGAGCTTACATGGAACAGAAAGAAATGAGTGAATGGTATGAAATTTAAAATAATATGGTAAGATAATAACTTAGAGTAGTGGCAGATGTTTGAGGCTTGCTTTGTACCCATTACACAASATGGGACAGTGCATATTGTTGTCTTACCTCCAGACCTGGTTTCCTGAGAAGAAGAGGGTCTTGCCCGTGTTCTCAAAATGAACAGCAGCACTTATCTTCTTAACCTCTTTTGGAAAACCCAGTTCAGATATTTTTCTGGGATAACCTTCCAGAATGTCATAACCATTAAGAGCCCAAAATTTTCTACCTAGAAGAAGTGAAAAAAATAGTTTTAGTGTAAAGAAAATCTATTTGGACTCACACGTGTGGATATTTACTTAAAAAAATACTATATTTCAGAAATAAAATATTCAGTGTTCATGGTCACAGTGTTTATGAAACATAGAGATATAAGCATTATTCCAATAAAAATTAGTGTTTAAGACCCTAACTTCCTAGTTCTGAATATAGCCAACCAGATATCAAAATTAATTTGGCAATTTATTACCTCTGAATATTGTTTAGAGATGGGTAAAAAATTCTTGTTTGACTATACAGCACAATAGTAAATTGAAAATACATATTTTATACCAGTTAGAAAGTGATTTCTTTCTCTAAAAAGTAACTTCATTATTACATTAGTTATAGTAGTCAAATAATAAAAAATAATGTGAGTAGAATTTAGATAAACATAGCATTAAATTGTGGTCATGAAGACAGAATAGCAATTTGGAAATTTTTCATGATTTTATATCAACAGAATAAGTAGAATTTAAACCCGTACCTATGCTTTGAAACCAAATATGTAAACAATATGTATTAAATATGGTGAAGGACTAGAAAAGAAAGTGAGTACATAATAAAATGAACTTGTTTACAGAAAGGGGAATTATAGTTAACATTTTTTCACTTTTTCAAAATGTACAATGTTATGGTTTTTCAGTAAGCAATATATAGAGATTTTTTTTTCAGTGCTAATGATGGAAGCCTCAGCAAGAGATCTACCACTGAGCCACCTCTCCAGCCCCCAGTAAGCAACTTTTAAGAGAAACCAAGAGAAAAAAAAATTGAAATTAAGGATATGATGCAAATAGATACGATAGCTAATAAGACAGAACTCTTGCATATCAAATTTAGGGATATTTGGTAGAATGGTCAGGTGGTTTTTGGTTTTCATCTGATCCTTAATTTAGGTGTATTTCTGGTAGTGATCATTTTAGTAAGTCTCAGGTCTATCACTGTCTCCCCTGGTCATGTGGAAGGCCTCATCTTGGATGGCTTACCTCGGAAGATGAATATAAGGTCGTGAGAAGGATGTTCATATGCAGCATCAACACGATTGGGAAGTTCTGGCCAAAATGATTTTGTCAAAAACAGCTCTGCATCAACCTGCTGAGGGTGCAGGCGCCAAAAGAATCTAGCACAAGAATAGAAAGACATAATTTTCTATCATATTTTAAGTGCAATATTTCTATCCTGCAAGCCACCTCTCTCCACATCAACACAATTAACACAACTGTCCCCTAGCACCTGTGAAGGGGAAAAAGTTTCATATTCCTTTAAGGGTAGTTTTAAGTTTTGGTTATCCTAATGCTAACCTAAGGTATTCAAGTTTAAAATGTCACAGAGCTTTAGTGAAAGCTCTGAGTCTTTTGTGGGTTGACAAGGTGCTTTTTTCTTGTTTTGTAAATCTTGCAAGTGGCAAGCAATATACCAGGCACTGTATTGGGCTCTAGGGAAAAAAAAAAAAAAACATGAATACAGAAGCTATGTCTTCCATGTAGTTTCATGTAGTTTTCACATTATCTCACTGATAATGTGAGAAAGCACCAGAGCACAATGTAATTAGAGTTGTATGAAAGGTGGTGGGAATGCTATTGGATCAAAATGAGGGGGGCAGCTAATGGATTAGTGAACAGATAAACAAATGAGCATCATACAACAATTTAGAAATTTAAAATTAACATTTCAATGTTAATACCTATAAGTTTAGGTTGCAAAGCATTCCCCCCTCTCAAATTCCAGCCTAKGTATCTGAAATCAAAGTCTTTCCATGCCAAAAGGAATTCTTATGGACAATAATGAGTAACATTTTACTAATTCAGTAATTACTCTCAGTATCTATTTTTCAAATAAATTGGATTACTTACTTTACTTTGTTGTCTTTATAAGAAAGATAACCAAAGATGTAAAAGAAGCTGCTCAATGCTAACATTATCCATTGGAAAGGAAAGTGTCTATTCATCAGTCATTTATTGGATCTGCAACATGTAAATAAACTGCCCAAAAGTCTATTCTTTTCCCTGTTAGAATCTAGATGTTTGACTGGATGTTTTGGCAGTTTGCAAACATGGACATGCAAATGTTTGTCACCTACAGATTTGATGAAAGACTCTCAAGAGTACCTGTCTTTAAAGATCATTGTTTCTCCTCGGAGACTGGTAATGGCATCAAGGGTTAAGGAGGGGTCACATTTGTCTGGTGTTTTGGGATGTTTAGGGTTAGGATCTTCATCTCCTGGACCTGCAGTTGTGAAATAAATGGGAGAAGTTACCAGTATGACCCCTCCTGGTGACCTGAGTCACAGCACAACAGGCTGATCCTGCTTATGGAGAACAAGAATGGATTCCCTCCAAGGAGGGCAGTAAGTCCTGAAGCTCCTACATAATGGTAATCCTACCTCCTTTCTCCAGGGTTACCAAGGTCTTGCAGGGGGACTACCTCTCTGCTTTCATCCTTCAACAAACCTTCAGACTCTGCTGAACTACAAATTAATTTTTTTATCTGATAGATATGAGAAAAAAGCAAAAGACTGAGAAAAATTCCTCCATACTTTGTATCACCAATTGACAAACTGTTTTTGAGAAACATATTTCTCTTRAAGCCATTTCTGATGGCATGCTATGCCTGTGATAGCCCTCAAAGAGGCTCCTTCTCCTGACTATTTTTTCAACTGTCAATATCAGCTTATGTTGCATCACCAGTTTGCCACAGTGCATTGCATCTCAGTGACAAGCCAGCCTGCAGCAAGTCTGATGTGATTTGCATATGGTTATAACTCTTCCACCAGTTCACACAGTAGTGCACAGCAGTAACCCTACAGTGTTTTATCTAATTTTATTACCAGTCCCTTATTCACAATATAGTAGAAATAAAAATTGCAAAATAAAATGGAAAATTCCATTGGCCACCTTCAAGTTCTTGCCTTTGCTTACACTAACTATAATAGTGAATTTAAATCTGGGGTGGGGAGGAATTATGGATTGAGGAGACGTGAGCAAGTTTTCTGAGCTCTTTGCTCCAGATATGTTTACACTAATGACTGCATGGTGGTTTTCATTCTATTTATGGCAGGTAATCTATAAATAAATGTTTTGGTTAAGATTTAAATGTTTTGTAAATATTATGGAAAAATTGGAAGAGTAAAAGGAGGGATTTTTTCATTGTCATTGTAATTGTTGGTTAAAAACTACTGAAGTTCACAAGAGTGATTTCTACTATGGCAATTAGACTAGTTGAAAGAATACCAAGAATTTATAACTGCTGTCACCATCAACTGTGTTACTATAGGTGTACTAAACTCTAACAGGCTTAATTGCTTCATTGGTTAAATGGGAAATAAAATATTTTCCTTTTTCATGGTAGAGGTATTTTGAGGGTATCTAATGTATCTGACAATGTATAAAATACAAATACAGAAATTATATTATGCAAAAAAAAGCATACAGAATGGAATATTTTCTCCTTGGACAATTTAGAAAGAAAAAATGCATGCATCTATTCTACTTATGTAACTAATTTTATAACTGATTCTATTCTGTTTTTATAGCTGRTAAATTAAGTCACCATAGAGAGACTGGATTCCTTGTACATCATCATCAGGAAGCATGAAATGGCTTTTTCCAGTGTAGGTGTAGATGGGAAACATGAGGGCTCCTGGGTCCTTGGAGTGGTCAAGACCTAAGGAGTGACCAAACTCATGGGCAGCTACAAGAAACAAGTTATAGCCTGTAAGAAAACAAAGAAACAGTGAGAAAAAAAGGAATTTCAGTCAATGAAAGAAATATTTTTTCCATCTTATTTTTCTCTTTCTTCATTTCTTGTTCTCTTTTAAAAATTAATATTCAGTGGCTTGAAGAAAAATTCAAAGTATTGATATAATCTTTATTAATAATTTATGGTTCTCTTTGATTATAGTTGCCTACATAATTAATCAGTTACCTACAGCAATATCAACAGATTGCTCTCATATACTTATTAGTCAATAAGGATTTACTGTGAATACAATAGGAATCCTGATATGCTATTTTTATTCTTAGGCCAAGGGAGGAAAGTGGACAGAAATCACCTTAAATTAGAAGTAGGGAAATCACATGGAGCCTTGCCTAGCTTATATGCAGTCTAGGACAGCATCCAAACAGGAGGCAGCATCCAAGAGATAATGACAAAGTATAGAGAACATATCAACTAGGGTCTCTGGATATACACTTGGGAACAAATTCCAACCAAATGATCCTTTCCAGAATTTTTCTAGACTATAGAGTTTATAATACCAGAAACTATGTGTGACTGAGCATTTCCCCTGTACTCTCGAATACGAGTATGTCACTGTTGTCATGGTTTCCTCTAGACATTCTTTTTATCAATTTTTAGCTTCCTAATATTGATACTTTAGATAGGGGAAAAGAAGGATAATAAAACATTAAAAGAAAAATAATACGTGTAAGGCAATAGGGATATTTACTTCTGCTTAGAATACATGAAAGCTGGAGCCAGTGGCTTCAGTTCTACCTTAAATACCCTGTTATCTTAGCCTGTACATGAAGAGACTGAACTAAGTTAGTAAATTCTGCACATACACATACAGAGGTCACATGATCTAAATAAGTAGTTCTTTACTAAAGTGACCAGTAATGCATACCTTTCTTGGCCTTCAACTGAAAACTTATTCCAGATTTATTTTTGGAAGTTTTCATTTATTTCAGTTATATATGTTTCAAATGCAGAACTTATATAGGAAACTAAATCTGAGTCTTACTGTAACTCTGTCTTAACACTAGTTAGTGTTGTTCTTTCTTCCCAAGGTCATTCTCGCCTATGAAAGACTCAAACATGTGAATTAGTGAATTTTCACTCTTTCCTTTAGAGGCATTGGTATTGAGACACTGATCTTTTAAGGCCCAGTTTTACTTGGGAAAAACAATCCTTTATATTTCAATGAAAAATAAAAATCAGCTGTCTATAAAGATTGCCTCTATTTGCCCTAAATTAGAATCTCTCTAGTTCCAAAAYTAAACTCTCTTTGAAAAATTCTGTGATTTTTCTTCCTAAATTTGCATTGTAATTAATTTGAGCTTTGAAGATTCAATAACTAAATAAATGYATTCCACAATCCGTTCATTTTCCTCTTGTAAATACATCCTTCATCTTATCTGTCTCAGTGCATTTAAATACATTATCTTGATTTCTCAAAGCAGTGTTTATAAAATGAGTGCTGTAGGCAAATCTGAAGCAAGTAACTCATGCAATAAGGAATAGAAAGTTGTCTGAACTCATGTCATTAATATTTCTACAAAGGAAAAAAATCTATTTCAATTCCCATGCAATTCAGTTATGACCCATAGATGGAGTCCTAATGACTTTTAGATATAAATTTTCGTAAACTATACTTCTTCAACATGCAAAAAAGGGACCCCACAGTAAAATTTCCTTTGCTGACAGAGAAGACATTTTAGTCAGACTTCTAAGTTAGTATCCCTCAAATCAGGATGATAAAGTAATACATTTTATCCATTTTTTCACATTCACAATTTATTTGTAGAAATGTCTCTTGTAGAGACACTAACAAGAATAAGATTGTTTTTATTCATTTACTTTAGAAAATATAATCAAATGCTAAATACAATTTATTTTATGCTTCTTCACTCTGTAGGAATATGTTCACTGTGTAATCTAATACATTAATTCATCTGTATAAAAAACATTACCTTTAGAACTACTGGTCCAGTCTTCATCATCATCAAAATGGGCATCTCCTCCATAGTTTGGTCCAGGAGGAAAAGCATGAGCCAGCAGACCAGAGGGTCCATCAAATGGGTAGAAGTCTCCATGCTCTACAAACAGAAGGGAGAGTCAGAATCTGAGCATGCCCAGTAGAACCTAGCACAGGTGCTTGCTCAACTTTTGTTAAATGCTATAAACTTAATGAATGACTAGAAGAAGGAATAAAAATAGAACCGATTAAGGATTAGAACATAAAAACATTTCAGAAATGATTCTGCCTCATTACCTTTAGTTCCAAAAGAGATCATGATGTCTGCTGTGCCATCATGGAGTCTGGTAAAATTCAAAGGTGTCACATCGGACCACACTTTGAAGGCTTTTTTAAATGCCTTCTCCACTTCAGAATGAGTCATATCAGGGGTATAATTCACAATTCTATTCAACAGAGAAAGCTTCAATTAAATTTTGGAAAGTTAGAGTTATTTTACAATACACTTTCTTGGAACATTGCTTTTCAACTGAAATGCCATGTCTTTTTTAAAAGTTCTACTATAGGTAGAATTTATTAGTTATGGTGATATCCAAGGATAAAAAGTTAAGAATTCAATTAGATATTTGAGCATCTCCATATGTTTGACCATGTGGCTTCTTAAAGTATTCAGACATATAATAGAACTTATTTTGCATGCTAAAAGTTTGGAATTATATCAATATAGCCAATTTAAATAAAATAACTCTGTAAAACTTCTAACAAGAGTGGAACCTTTTATCTTTAGCTCTATGATAATAAATGCGACTGATGTCCTATTTTGCAAGTTTTATTGAATCTATTTTTACTTTTATTTTGGTTTTGAGATGTTCCCTGAAAAGTAATGTTGGATTATAACATTACAATTATTGATGTTATGAGACATTCCCAGCAGCAGTCTTAAAACCATTTCTAGACCTACTTAACTTCCAATTAAATATTTAAGGTCGACTTAATATTAGACATTTACTAMCAGAAGAAAAAACTAGCAAATATCAAGGAAATGTAGTCTGTCATTTACCTGTAGGTTAAATTCGTTTGGGACCATTTGAGAGTCCGAGGGAAAACATTGTATTCGCCCACATCAGGGACCCCGCATCTTGGTTTTTTCATGATATCTAAGGTGCTATCGTCCAGTTTGCCCGTCACCTCTAAGCCGAAGAAAGACTGCATTTCTCGGAGCCTGTCCACCATGGAGCTTGCTGCATTCTTCTTCAGGATTCCCGCAAGATTTGAAGGATGGTAATAAGATTTCAAGTAGTGCTGAAAAAAGAGACCCAAATAAGCTGGTTTAAAAGGAGAAGGAATTGAAGAGCTGGGCTACATCCTCAGGATGGGTAAGTTACTCTACCTCTGCAAACTGGAGGTCTTCCTCAGACAAGTCTTCATCATCATCACCACTKGGGAGGGGCAGGGCCCGACAGTGAGTCCAGCTCAAGAGGAGGAAGGCAGCCAGGACACCTGGGTGCATCTTGAATGGCTGTGCCTGGAGTCTGCTGCCTTTCCACTGGCAAATACCTTTACTTTTATAGGCCTGCGATGTTGAGTCATCATYCCTGGGTGTCTCCACTTCCTCAGCAGTCAAAGGTAAGCATGCTTACAGGGCAACTTTTTTTTTTTTTATTTTCTTCCTCCCGAGTGTGGTTTGTGGCAGAATTTGAGGGAAATATAAAATGAGGGCATCTCTTGTTTCAGCAGAGTCACAAAACCATCTGGCAAAATAAACTCCCTCAGCATATTTATGGATACTGTGGGAAGAAGCAGAGAGTAGTACATTTTTTCACTTCACTCTGCAAAAATGTTTTCTTCTTTCTGTAGGAAAGCAGCTGCTTTGGCTTTTTCAGATAAGAATATCAAGGTGATATGTTTACTCCCATAAAGAGAAACCTAGACCTGCACCAAGAATGCTTACAGCCTTCTGAGTTCTAAACTACATTCCCTTTTAAGAGCAACTGTAGGGAGAAATACTGTTTACCTGAGGGCAGTGGAATTGCACAAGAACCAAGCTTCAATCCTCAGATGTAGTAAGGGATTGAATCCCAAGGTCAGATTTACACACACTGGCATGCCCTTTCAATGAATATGGAGTCCTGCACAAATTTCCTACGAGTCCAGGCAGAAGTAGAATAATTATAATAGCATACAACAACTCTAATGGTTAGGAATATATATTGAGAGATTGCTGCATACTACATTTAAAGGCCATTATCTCATTTAATCCTTACTACTGTACCTAGGCAGGTACTATGGGAAGGCTTGTTTTCCATCTTACATGTGAAAACTGTGAGAGGAAGAGAAGGCAAATGTCATAAAGTTAATAAATGGTACTACCAGAATTTAAACCCAGGACAGTCAACTCAACACTCCATGTTCATAAGCACCATCCAATATCGCTTCTACCCTGTCGCTTCTCAGACATTTTCTTAAAAACCAAGGTGCTTGGTTCTCATACCTCTGGAAGTACCCAGGAAAACAAGAGCTATAAGTAAGCATATGWTCAATTTAAACTTTGTCAAATTTCATTTTTACATTTGAACAATAAAAGTATCATTGGTCCAACAACTCAGAAAAACAGTTTTAGAGTCCTCTTTTATACAACTGTTCTTCTTTTCAAAGCTTTACACATTCAGTACCATGAAATCAAAATGCCATAATTGGTCCCCTGTAGATGTAAATAGGTAGTCCTCTGTAGATGTACACAGAATATGTATTGTCTGTGCAGAAAATATGCTATTACATATTGTGTAATATTCTGTAATATTTTTACATATTCTATAATATTTTTGTAGAGATAAAATAAATAATCTAACATGCAAGTTAATTTAGTGATCAAGCATCAAAAAGAAAAAGAATCTCAAAGACATATTAAGACAAAGAAAATAAGCGTGAATAGAGATTTAGAGCATGTAGGAAAGGGTTAAAATGTGGATAAAATGCTATAATCTAGAGTAGTCAGTACCTTAGAGAAAACCAATGAAGTCTATGAAATAAGAGCAATCAGTTGAAATAACTCTATTATGTTTTTATCCAAAACACAGCCAAATACACCTAAGAATAGACTGTTTCCAATGAGTTCAAGATTCAATTTGGGCTCAATCAGAAAACAAGGAAGAAGAATAAAAAGCCTGTCCACCATGGAGCTTACTGCATTCTTCTTCAGAAGAATTTTTTCTTTCAAACATTTTTTCAGTGTTTAAAATCGGGGGGAAGAGAACAAAACAGGCTACTCATTCTCATATCTTTGGGGGTATTTGTAGAAATATAACCATTCTAAAAGAAAAGAAATCTTTTGAGTTATCAAATCAATGAATATCATTTGAGCATCAACTGCAAAGGATATTATTGAAGTCACTATGACAATGGAATGAAGGGTAAGATAAGAATTTTTTTCTTTTTGAGAGAGAGAGAGAGAGAGAGGATTTTTTAATATTTATTTTTTAGTTTTTTTCCGGCGGACACAACATCTTTGTTTGTATGTGGTACTGAGGGTCGAATCCAGTGCTGCACGCATGCCAGGCGAGCGYGCTACTGCTTGAGCCACATCCCCAGCCCATGAGAATTTTTTTAACAGGACTATTACAATATTACCTCCTTCAAAACAACCTTCTAAAGGACAAATGCCACTGTTTCTCAACTTGAAAAGTAATTATGAAAAAATAATTATGAAACAGCTTTAGTGTTTTATTAGTTACAGAAAAGAAAATCAGAGGATACTGAAAATATGCTATTACATATTCCATAATATTTTTAGTAGAGATAAGGAAAAATTCCCCGGAATATTGAAATAAATGTTGATTCCTTAAGAGAACCAAACACTTTGTCTATAGGGAATTGTTCACAGAGGAGTGGTGTCAGACTGCTGAWAGGATGTGTCACCACTTTGTCATGTGTTGGCAGCCTGCTTGTCAACACAAGTGCTTATCACAGGTGGTTAATTGTAAAAATGAAAGCCAGGCCTTCTGGTTATCACCGGTGAAATGGCTGTGGTTTTGAATGTCACCTTTAACGTATTGGGGCTGAGTTGGTATTTAAAAATGGTTCTAACCCGCCCACTGAATCACTGGGAAATTTAAAAACCTGTAAAATGAGCAAACAAAATTGGACAAGATTAGAGTAAGTATCTACCACTGATTCAGACATAAGCAATACGGGACTTTTTAAAATACAGATCATCACCAGTTTCTAAATTGAGAGTATCACCAAAGAGAGAAACAAAAGTGCCCATGAGCAACTGTTTTGTAAACAGGGTGTGTGGTGAGCCGTTTCTGTGTACTGTGGCCGCCATTACAAGATGGCGCTGATAAGCGCCGTGGCCTGTGATAAACAACTCCTTATTTTGGGAGAGTTGGCACGTAGCTGTAAATCACCCTATGAGAAAGATCCACGTGGCAGTTGTGCATTGGGGCTTTATCTGCTTTATTAAGGCTGGGGCACGTAGTAGGGTAGTAGTAGGAGTAGTAATAGGAGTAGTAGTAGTTCGAGAGAGAAACAAGCTAAAAGACATGTCTAAACAAAGGCCTGAATAAACTGCTGAAGGAAGAATCCTGTGTCGTGTTTCCTTTGCTGGAGAGGGGACGCGACAAGGGTGCACTCAGATTAGGTATTACCAAATTGGTCACTTGAGATGGTCTAAAATATAAAAATTCTGTAAAATATAAAAATCCTGAAGTTCAAGAGCATGTTTTGATTAGAGTATGTATTGTCTGTGTTGACAATGTCAGTAGTATCTTTATTTGTAAATGATAAGTGATTTGACTCCGCAACTGCATGAGTTTTTGTGAACACTCTGAAGGTTGCTTTAGTCTAGTTTCTGATTTCCTTTTTGTCTATAACCCCATGGAAAGGGTTTATACGCTCTTAAAAGAGAAAACTAARTTTGAATTTGGCACTTAGTCATATTTATACCCTAGAACGTAAGGTGTTAGAGTATCCTGCCTAACTTGCTTATGCATAGCCAATTGTGGTATAATCCACAGGTTCTGCAACAGAATCCAGAGGGACTCATTTTAGAGGTTCCAGCTGCAAAGCAGGTTAGCAATTTAGGAGGTCATTTCCTTTTAACAATTCAATCACATGCTTTTTTAGAGATGCTATCTTTGTACTGGGCTGATCCACAAAAGAAATTAATAGAATYTGTGAGAAATAAAGGAAATTATTTTTTAGATTCTGCCAAAATATGACAGTTGAAAGGAAAGACTTAATTTTCTGGGCTTACCGCCTAATGAATTCTAATTTTCCTTGTGCCTCATTAAAAAGAATATTTACTACATGGCTGCTTCTGCCAGATTTAGCCAAACACTCTAAGAGAAAACAACTAGTAATAGAAAACACATTCTTGTCCTACCATCCCCAAATTTCTTTGAAAAGGTTAAAATGAAGATGGTTTGGTATTGAATAATAGATATGAAAACAAGCTGTAAAAATGGAGAAATGCCTCAGTGGCTTTAACAAAAAGCAACTTCAGTGTATTTGAAGCTTCCTAATATTTAAACAACAAAGCAAAAGTTCTACTTTTATTAAAATAGACTGTATTATGTTATATGTATGACAAATAGATCACAATTAATCTCCCTATTATATATAATTTTAATGCACTAATTTTAAAAAGCCTAGTCTTACTTTATTACCTTAATTCACTAAAGTAGAACATAAGTTTTGTTTTTGTTTTTGTTTTCCTATTTCAGAAAACGTTTGCAAGTTGTTTTATTTATAATGTCTACTTTTAAAAGCTCACCAAAGTAAACTGGACAATAAACTTGGCAAAAATCGCCTTACAAAAGCAGGGAAAGCCCAAAATGCCATTTTCTACAGAGAACCCACAGTTCGATTTTATTCAGAGTAGAGAAAAACTAAACTTTCTCTTATACTAGAAGAAATTCAGCCACAGGTTTGGAGTCTGTACTCAAACTACACAGGCAATAAGGACAATATTGTGCTAATAAATTGATTTGCTGCTGCATTTGTCTACTGTTTGTCTAATATTAACAATTATAAACAGAGCAATGCAACTAGTATTTGGAACAATCCTTATAGTGTTATAGTGTCAGGTACAACATCCCACTTCCCTTCACATCACCCGTTCTCTTTGCCTACCTGGGCTTCCTCCTCTTCAGTGAAGTCATGTTTGACATTGAAAGTTTTGCAGATCTCCTCAGGAGTTTTTCCCTTGATCATATTGGCAACAGTCTTGCCCGTAACATCAAGCAAACTTTGATGTCTAAGTAGTTTGCAGTCAGAATAAGTTCACAAAAGTGATCCTTGGTCAACCTTCTGGAATTCTTGGTCCCAAATGGGGATATCTTCTGTTCCCTTTTCTTTGTTCTCATCATCCTCAAGAGGAGGTGGGTCATCTTTCTGGCTGAATGACCTTTTTCAATATTGCTGCATTGACATTTGGTAGAACAACTGGGTCATCATCTTCTTCATCATCCATTCCCAGATCTTCCAACATGGTCTTGATTGTCACAGATTGTTTGGCAATTTCTACRTCAAC